TTTTTTTTTTTTAAGAGAGGTTTCCGCTATAGGGCGCGTGCACTCGACAGACAGACAGAGGGAGACAGAGAGACAGAAAGCGAGAAATCACCCCCTGGGGGGATGGTCACGCGGCAATCCCTTCTCTTCCATTATCCTCCTGGGATCTTGGGCACACATGCACACGCGCCCGGTGTGAGTTTTAAGCCACTGGGTCCGGGTCGCGAACCGTGGTCGACCACGTGGGAGTCCAGCGACATAGCCATTACGCTAACTGCTGGTTCCCCCGGAGGTTCTTTATATACACATCCACTTACAGGAATTACTGAGTAACTTTTGCTCAATGTAGTTGCAGGAACTGAGAATCAGCAGAGAACAAAAGGACAGACCCTCACTGAGTTTGCACACCTGCATGTGTGAGTGTAAGGAGGAAAAACACTAATAATGCCCTTTGACATTTGCTCAGTGCCACATGCTCATGAGCATTTTATATATGACTGGTTAAATCACCCAGCAACTTTGTGTGGTTGGTGCCACTATTGTCCCAGTTTTACAGTTGAGAACTTAGAGGCCCTGAGGTCACCGGCTGGTCAGAACCTAGGCAGGGTTTCCCCAGGCAGTTAGGCTCCAGAATCCGGTGCTCTGACCTGCCGTCCTCTCTGCATGTAGGAGCAGGTGGAGAGGGACAGAGGGCGGGCAGCAGTGAGCAGCAGGAGAACCCTTTGAAGGGAGACCCGAAGGGAGTTAATGAGGCCTTGTTGGGAGTCCAGTGGTCAGAGCTGTTTTAATCTTAAGACATTGTCTTTTTCTCATCCAAGTGTACAGTGGCGTTCTCCAGAGGCTCCATGACAGGTGACAGTACAACATATTGTTGTACTGGGGGACTGGGGGTTTGGGGGAAGTAGTGGTGAGAACCCAGGTGTGTTCTGTGTTCTGTTAAGCCAGCCATCAGCCAAAAGAGTTGCAAAAATTTGAACCAGTGCCACTTTTCTTAGTAAACTTGGTTTTTTAAAAAAATCTTGTTATTTCGGGGCCAGCAGGTGGCGTTCAGGTTAAAGCAGCGGAGTCTTGTGGGGCTTACTGTGTGGTTCGAGTTCCAGACCTGGTGACTTAAGAGCCACACAGGGAACATGTGCACGCATGTCCAAATCCTGAGAGGAGAATGGAGAAAAGGGGATTGCGGCATGGCCATCTCCTCTTGTGGGATTCTTTCTTACTTTCCTTCTATCTGTATCTGTCTCTGGCAAATGTACATTTTCTTTTCTTTAAAATTATTTAATTTAATTTAATTTTGTTAATTATTATTACTCAATTTGACCAGAGAGAAAGGGAGAATGAGAAAGTAAGCCACCAGGTCTGGGCCTTGAACTACAGTCAGCCATGAGGCACTGGACTCTCACAAGGTCAACCACGGTTCAAGGCCTGAAATCTGGTAGCCTGAAAATCACACCAGGCATGTGTGCATGTGTGTGCATGACCAAACTCCTGGGAGGAGAATGGAGGAAGGAGAATTGTGGTTTGGCCATCCCCCCCGAAGGATGATTTCTCATTTTCTCACTGTCTTTCTCCAGGAACACATACATTCTATGTCAAAAACCTTAAAAAAAAAAAAAAGAGAGACAGAAAGTGAGAAATCACCCTCTAGGGGGATAGCCACAATCCCTTCTCCATTCTCCTCTCAGGATCTTGGGCACGTATGCACGCACATGTGCCCAGCATGAGCCACTGGGTCTGGGACTCAAACTGCGGTCGACAATATGGGAGTCCAGTGACATAGCCATTTTGTTAACTGCTGGTCCCTTAAGGGGTGTTTTTAAGATGAATTAGTAAATACTAAATTTTTTCTTTGTTTTAATTTCCAATACAATAAATACTGACAGATAAATAGACCCAAATAAACAAAAATGGCTTGAGGTCCTCGGTAAGTTTGGTGCACACGAGCTCAGAGACTACAGAGTTGAAGAACCAGTGTCGTAGAAGATTCCTTCTGGCTGGAGGGTCAATGCAGGAATGACCGAGAGACAGGTCGCTTACCCAGCCTTTGTGCTGGCTGGGGTGAGCAGCATAGGTGATAAGAAATGACTGTATCGGGATTTATTTGGGGGAGTATATGGATTTTTAAAACAATTGTAAAATACACACAACATGAAATTTCCCATCTTAACCGTTTTTTTTTTCTTTTGAGAAGTTTTTGCTATAGGGTGCGTGCGCTTGCCAGACAGACAGAGACAGACAGAAAGCGAGAAATCACCCCCGGGGGCGATGGCCACGCCCCAATCCCTTCTCCTCCATTCTCCTCTCGGGATCTTGGGCACACACGCACATGCGCCCGGCGTGAGTTTAAGCCACCGGGACTCTAACCGTGGTCGACTACATGGGAGTCCGGCGACATAGCCATTACACTAACTGCTGATCCCCCATCTTATCCATTTTTAAGAGTACATTTGTGTTAAGTACATTCACACTGTTGTGAGCCATCACCAGAACTCCCTTCATCTTGCAAAACTGAAACACTGTACTCGTTAAACAGTAACTCCCGTGGGTCTGGATTTATTTTCAAAGTGAAGGCAAAAGTATTTGTCATTGGTTTGGATGTGGTGCGCGTAAATATCTGGTAAATGTACCCTTCTCTAGAGAGAAGGTACCTTTGTTCTGGTTTTTTTCCATCCAAATGTTGGCCTTCACATGCCCGTTGGTTCTGAATCACACGTGAGCACACTGCTCCTCCGGGGTGTCCCACAGGCTGAACCAAGGCGAACCCCAGGTGGTGTGGATTACTTGGTCATTGGTAACACCGACCAGTGGTATCACATCAGGTGACCTCGCATTAAGGTACTTCTGGATTGACTTACACTTAACAGGAAAGAACCCGAGTAGTTCATTCAACAGGCACTGTCTCCTCGGAATAATGTTTTCAGACTGTTCGTTTTCATCTTTTCAGATCAGCTTAATTGAGTTCCCTGGTCTGTACATATCCTGAGGTTATAAAGTGAGCCATTAACACTGTTAAGGTGCATGTAAAAAGAAGATGAAAAGATTTGAGCTGTGGGGTGGAGGCGGAGGCGGAGGCAGAGGTAGCGGCTGGGCACAGGGAGCTCAGGTGGCAGCGGGAACCAGGAGGAAGTCTGGCAGGGATCCCTGGGAGACATGCCCCTAGCAAAATGAAATGGAGAGGAACTGAACATTCATTTGATCAGGTCAGTAAAATAAACAGTGGCCAGAGCAGCAGTTCTGATCTTATAAATAGCACTTCGCATGCCCAGTGGAAAAGGAAAAAGCATCACTTCTCCGATGACTTCTGGCATCCCTATGAGGGGTGGGGGTGTCCCTGGTCTCCACATGAAGAGGGTGAGGTGCAGAGATCACTTAAGGGCTCAAGGTCACACTGCTCCTAATAGAGGGATGCCGGGGTTTGACCCCAGGTCAGCTTGACTTCAAAAATGGGTTATTCCTTTTTTTATTAAAAAAAGAATTATTTTATTTAACTTTATTCATTATTATTATTATTGAATTTATTTATTTATTTTACCAGAGAGAGATGTGGGGTGGGGTGGAGTGAGAAACCAAGCAACAGGTCTGGGACTCGGACCATGGTCAGCCATGTGGGAATCCCGCGCCCTTAACCACCGTGCCGGCTGCCGTGATGGGTTATTTATTTATTTACAGTTATTCACTGTACATCAATACGGTATACAGAATGAAATTTTCCCATCCAGATAGTGAGTGGTTCTTAAAAACTCATTTTCAGCCACTTTTTCTAATTAAAGAAAATTTGCATTTACTTTTATTTTAAAACATATTTTTTTTTTTTTGAGAGGTTTTTGCTATAAGGGTGCGTGCACTTGCCAGAGAGACAGAGAGACAGAAAGACAGAAAGTGAGAACTCACCCCCCAGGGGGGATGGCCACACCATCCCTTCTCCTCCATTATCCTCTCAGGATCTTGGGCAGGTGCACACACACACACACACACATGCACCCGGTGTGAGTTTAAGCCACCGGGTCTGGGACCCAAACCATGGTCAACTATATGGGAGTCCAGTGACATAGCCTTTACGCCAACTGCTGGTCCCAAAACATATTTAATTATTTATTCATAAGTATTACATGTTTTGTATCTTTGTTTTACATTTTTGTTTGTAATACTGTTTTTAAATAAGTAATATTGGGCCAGCCCTGTGGCTAGATGATAATACACTGCTCTAGAGAAACCAGATTTTATGTGGTGACAGTGGACACCCGAGTGCCCTGGATCTGATAGGCTGGCGGGTTGGAGGAAGGGGACTGAGACACGACTGTACCCTATGGAGAATGCTTCTCTTTCTTTCTCCCTCTCTTTCTGCATTGTGCACATGCATGCAAGCACATGCCCTATCATGAATAAAGAAAAAAAATTTAATGTTGATTGTCATAAAGAACTGAAAACTCAGGACCAGAAGGTGGCGTGGTGGTTAAGGCACTGGACCACCCCACATAGCCAACCACAGTTCGAGTCCTGGACCTAGTGGCCTGAAAATCACACCGGGTGTATGTGCATGCCTGCCTGAAATCCCAGGAGGAGAATGGAGGAGAAGGGGTTGTGGCGTGGCCATTCCCCCCAGAGGAAGATGATTTCTCACTCTCTTTGTCTCCCCAGTGAGTGCATGCACTCTATGGCAAAGAAAAAAAAAAAAAAAAAAAAAAAAGACAGAAAACGTATTTTTGGTACCTTTTTTTGTGAAAGGCAAAGAGCAGTTAGTTTCAGTTTGTCCATAGCTGTCAGTCCTTTTTCTCTCTCAGTTTCAAGAGCAATTTATTTCTTTTCTCTGGTTGTTCATGTGATCAGATAATTTTTATCTCACTTACTGGAATTTCATCCCATTTGCGTCTTGACACCACACTTTGTAACAAAGACATGAATGTTGCCTTGTAACCTGATGGGAGTCTTATCACTTTAATAATAGACATTCGTTTCAGAAGCAGTGAAGTATAAAATAATAATTCTAAGCTCAACTATTTTCTTCTTTCTTTTTTGAAATGCAGTTAACAAGCACAAGCCATGGCTCGAGCCCACCTACCATGGTATCATTACAGAGAACGATAACACGGTGCTCCTCGATCCGCCTCTGATTGCCCTGGATAAAGATGCACCTCTGCGTTTTGCAGGTATGAACGTGGTTTTTATTTACTCTCTTTAAACTTGGACTGGATGGGAAGCTTTTCAAACCTTCTATTTGGGTTATTTCTGAGCCTTTCTGAAAAATGTCTCCATAGCTGAGGCTTTTTTGTGGGTCCTGTGTACATTTTCTTTTTTTATATTGGGGTAGTTGACCAAAAAAAAAAAAAGGCTTGTTCTTATAGCTGAAAAAATATTTAACTTAATCACATGATTATTTTCTTTTTTAAAAAAATATTTATTCAATTTTATTCATTATTACTATTTTTTAATTTGATCAGAGAATCAGAGAGAGAGAGAAAGGGAAAGTGAGAAAGCAAGTTGCCAAGTCCAGGACTTGAACTGTGGTTGGCGATGTGGGAGTCTAGCGCCTTAGCTCCACGTCATTTGCTGGCCATCATTATTGTCTTGTTTTGATTTAGCCAGATAACATCTCTAGACCACTGTACCTAAGAGACTAATGCACACACCGAGTACCCAAGGGCTGGCTTGAAATGTAGACTGTGAGACAGTCCCAGGCAGACCTGAGACCTCATGTTCTCGTTTTTCCCAGGGGCTGCTGCTGGGCAGTGAGGACACAGAGAATCAGAGCTCTGGAGTATCCTTACATCACCTAGATGTCAGTTACCTAAAAACGTATTTGGAAAAGTCTAGTGGACTTTATAGAGGAATACTTTGAAACATTTTAAACTTGAGTTACTCACTTCATAAGATTGCAGCTTGCCTCTTTGTAGAGACAAATCTCCAGGATTGCGTTGGAGATTTTCATAATGTAATAACTCTGTTGCTAACATTTAATAGCACGTTCTCACTTTATGTGGGGCCATGATAGCTTCTTTAACTGGTGGAGGAAGATGCTATGTCAACTTTTCTTTACCTCAGGAGTCAGCATTGACATTGTAAAATTAATTTTTTTTAAGAATTATTTTATTTAACTTTATTTATTTATTTCACTTTGACCAGAGAGGAACATAGTGAGCGAGAAAGAGGGAAAGTGAGAAAACAAGCCACCAGGTCTGGGACTCGAACCACAGGTGACCATGTGGGAGTCTAGCACCCTTAGCCACCACCCTACTTGTTGGCCCCAGGAAAGTTAATTTTTTTTTGGAGAGGTTTTTGCTATAGGGTGCTTGAGCTCGCCAGAAAGACAGAGAGAGACAGAAAGATAGAAAGCGAGAAATCACCCTCCAGGAGGATGGCCACACCACAATCCCTTCTCCTCCACTCTCCTCTTGGGATCTTGGGCACGCATGCACACGCGTCCAGCGTGAGTTTAAGCCACCAGGTCCAGGACTCAAATCATGGTCAACTCCATGGGAGTCCAGCAACATAGCCATTACACCAATGGCTGGCTCCGGAAAGTTAATTTCTATAGGGTAGTTTTTGAATGATTTTTTTTCCAGGTCTAAACTCCTAGTAGAATGTTCCGTTTGCCAAGAGATAATTAAGAAAAATTGGATGAACTCACATAAAACGTACACTAATTTCACTCTAGTAAAATGAGAGAAGTGAATGTGGGATTGTTTCTGGAGAGTTATTTAGAAAAATTAACTTGTGCTTGATTCTTTCATGTACCAGATCACATGTTCAGAAAAGTAAGCTGAGAACCGGCCATTGTGTGGGCCATTGCTAGAGAAAGAGCCCCTCGACTAGTTTTACCTGTTCGTTGACTTGGAGAGAAATGCAGTAAATGGGCAGAGGAGGGATGCAGTCCGTGCTGTGCAAACACACAGCATTTGTCTAGTAGCCATGTGACTTCTTTGTTTATCCCCCAGTATTAGAATAAGTGTTAGCATTGGATATTAGTCTTTCTATAACGAGATAGCTTTTTTGAGTGTTTTTCTTACGCTCACATACAAAAATACTTCAGAAAGTTGATGGCAATATGCAATTAAAGTATGAATTTGGGGCAAGTTGGTGGGGTGGTGTTTAAGGCAGCTGGATCTCACATGGCTGACGGTGCAGTTTGAATCCTGGACCTAAGAGCTTGGAAAACGCACTAGGGGCATGCATGCCCCAAATCTTTTTTTTTTTTTTTTTTTGAGAGGTTTTTGCTACAGGGTGCATGCGCTCACCAGACAGACAGAGAGAGACAGAGACAGAAAGCGAGAAATCGCCCCCCAGGGGGATGGCCACACTGCAATCTCTTCTCCTCCATTCTCCTCTTGGGATCTTGGGCACGCAGGCACATGTGCCCGGCGTGAGTTTAAACCACTGGGTCTGGGACTCGAACTGCGGTTGACTATGTGGGAGTCCAGCGACATAGCCATTATAGTAACTGCTGGCCCCATGCCCCAAATCTTGAGAGGACAATGGAGGAGAGGAGATTACAGTGTGGCCCTCTGCTCTGGGGGTGCTTTCCCCCTTAAACTTTCTCTCTTTCTGTCTCTGGTAAGTGTAAACATCCTGCAGCAAATTTAAAAAAGAAAAAAAACTTGAAGTATGAGTTTTTGGGGGGTTTTTGGTGTAATTTTTTTTTTTTTGGTAGAGGTTTTTCCCTATAGGGCGCGTGCACTTGCCAGAAAGACAGAGAGACAGAAAGCGAGAAATCACACCCCAGATGGCTGGGCCACACCACAATCCCCTCTCCTCCATTCTCCTCTTGGGATCTTGGGCACACATGCACATGTGCCCGGTGTGAGTTTAAGCCTCTGGGTCCGGGACTCGAACCACAGTCGACTACATGGGAGTCCAGTGACATAGCCAACTGCTGGTCCCATAGTGTAAGAATTTTGAATTCATCATGGTTTTGTTGGTAACATGCACGTTTCCATGGACTTTTGAAAGACTTGCTGTACATCCCCACCCTGTGTGCACTGTACTTGCAGTTTCTCCTTAGGACTGACAGTTAGTGCTATGTAAAAAAAAAAGGATAATGGAGTTCACGTTTCTGAGTGGATTTGTGCATTCCTGTCATTTCATGCATTTTGAGAAGTGACTGAAGTCAAGAGTTCTAGATGTCCTCCCACAGGCCTTTCGTTACTACATGAGGTTGTGGCCATACCCAGTCCTGCTGTTGGTGAGCGTGGTCCTACGTTCTTAGTCATACAGAGCTCACTTACGGCAGTTGTAATGGTGTTCTGGGCACTGTTCTCAGTGCCTCCCTAAGACGAACTTGTATTTAATTTTCAACAGCCATGTGAAGTGAGTATGCTTTCTGCATCTCCCTCTAAGGAGGGGAAGCTGAGGCACAGAGCAGTTCCTGTACTTGCCCTGGGTCGCACAGCTGTTGTAGGACAGAGGCAGGATTCCAGCCAGACGGGTGGCTCTTTGCCACGATGCCGTGGTTGCATCTGCGACTGCAGAAGTTACACAGGAAGTAGGAAATGAAATGACCTTAAGTACCAAGGGAAAAGTGATGTTAATAAAATGTCACTTATGTTTTCTCATTAGATTTCATTTTATTGGATCATTTATTAAATTTATTGTTTTATGAATGAAATAATACAAGGTTTCATTTTTAGAGATTCTCAGTTTTTTTTTTTTTTTGGAGAGATTTTCACTGTAGAGCGTGTGCGCCCGCCAGACAGACAGAGAGAGACATAGAGACAGAAAGCGAGAAATCACCCCCCAGGGGGGATGGTCACGCCGTAATCCTTTCTCCTCCATTCTCCTCTCGGGATCTTGGGCACGCACGCACACGTGCCCGGCGTGAGTTTTAAGCCACCGGGTCCGGGACACGAACCGCGGTCGACTACGTGGGAGTCCAGCGACATAGCCATTACGCTAACTGCTGGTTCCCGAGATTCTCAGTTTTTTAAAATTGATCTATAATTCTTTTTTTTTTAGCTATTTAGCAAAGCAATTTAGATCATAATGGTAACTTCATTTTATTTGCCATAGCAGACAGATAAGCCAGTATTTTTGTTCTAAAGGTTTTTTATAAGGGAGCACAGTTACTCTTTTTATTTTTTTATTTTTTGAGTTTTTTGCTATAGGGCGTGTGTGCTCACCAGAAAGACAGAGAGAGACAGAGCGCAAGTGAGAAATCACTTCCCAGCGGGGATGGCCACACCACAATCCTTACTCCTCCGTTCTCCTCTCGAGATCTTGGGCACGCACGCGCACACGCCTGGCATGAGTTTAAGCTTCCAGGTCTGGGACTCGAACCGCTGTTGACTACATGGGAGTCCAGCAACATAGCCATTATACCAACTGCTGGTCCCCAGTTACTCTTATATCCTGTCTTTTTTTCTTCCTTTCTCTTAAGATGTAATTTATATACCATAAAAATTACCCTTTTAAAGTATATGATTCATTGGGTTTTAGTATATTCACAAAATTATGCAGCTATTATCCACTGTCTAATTCCAGGGCATTTTCATCATCCTCAAAAGAAACCCTTCCACCAGTTAGCAATTACTCTTCAGTTTCCCTGCCCCCCGTAACCACTATGGATTTCCCCAGGTATTTCATACAAGTACACTCTGGCTTCTTGTGACTAGTGTCTTTCACTTACAACATGACCATTTCAGAGTGTACTCATGTTGTAGCATGTGTCAGTACCTCACTCCCTTTTATTGCTGGATAATCTTCCACTGCGTGGATGTGCCACATTTGGCTTACATGTTCATCCATCGATGAACGCTGGATTGTTTCCGCTTTTTGGCTGCTATGAATGATGCTGCTCTGGACATTTGTGTACAAGTCTTTGGGTGAACGTAAGCTTTCAGTTCTCTTGGGTATATACCTTGACATAGAAGTGACTTGTGTGCACAGTCCTTGTCCTGCCCAAGGAGTAAGCAGCTGTGCAGCCTGGGGACGGTGTAGCCGCCCCGCCACCACATCGCCTTCCCTCCCTGTGCCCTTTGCCTTGGTTCCCGGCATGCTGCAACAGAGTGCTGCCCGGTGAGGCCGAGCAGGCAGGGGTGTCAGCACCGCTCCTAGAGCTGGCAGTCAGTGCTTGAACTCCGGCTCTGCATCCTGGCTCCACTAAGGCTGTGTGGCCCTCAGCCAATTATGTATCCTCTCTGTGCCTCAGTTTTATCAT